TAGACATTGTAGGTATCATAGTATAAAACCTAATTAATAAATGTACCATGCGGAATTATCACTTTACAGTAGTTGTATATGCAAATGTACGTCTAATCATTTCACTCTGGCATCGTATGATGATACCACGTATGTGGGATCATCTGAGGCAGCTATGTAGCCAAACATCAACTCCATGATGAGGCCCTGAAGGCCGAAACAGTCCTGTTTGGAGTTACAAAATATGTATATAGGCATTACAATATTGTACAGTTTGCTTATTTGGCTTCTATTACATGTATATCTGGTACATGAATACAATATGTAATGACATTAATGTCCTGAACAAATAGTGCAACATTGTAACCTCAAGAAGTCACAGAAGTTTAATATATATTAGAATTATTGTAACGTCAGTAAGCATACCAAGACAAATAGAAACATAAATTTAAAGATGTGTAATTATGGCCTAAACGAAATATGTTCCGAACATTCTGTACACGGACATTTACAATGTACATGTGTTACGCTCACAACCATAACTGATAATTAAATAAAATGTAAAATTCTCGCTCAATAATAAATGAAAGACTACAATAATTGTACTGTACAAATATTGACAACTGAATTAAATAAATGAAAGTCTACTGTGTTACAATCTGCTCCATTATTCAAATGGGTTAAAGTCAATGAAATTCTGTGAAGAATTGTAGTGATAGCAGGTCTACAGTATCCAGACATCTCCAGTGCCAACCATTTACAAATTAAATGGTTAGGTCGAGTCCATATGATAATGCCATACAACCCTTGATAGTAAAAAGCGTGTACTGTATGCACATAACTGTAAATGCTTTTTACACAATTATGGTGCGTTTTTTTTTTTTTTATAAAATCTAGTACATTGCTTGTTGGGATGGAAGTAATATTATACAATGTACATTCATTCCAGCTTCATCTTGCAGGAATATAATACCAGTCATGCGTACTATAGAACTATATTTTTAGAAATCGTACGATTGCTGACTAACAATATTCTAAATTCAGAAACGTATAGCATTCAAATTTAACGCTCAATACAAACAGAATAGATGAGACTTACTTTATACACAAGGTATGCCATTTTTAAAGATGTGTCGATGTTTCATATGAACAGATTTGTTGACACTCTTTGTGGAGCAGACGATACTGGACTTTTTGTTTCAGAAGTAGGTCATTAAGGCGTGACTTAAAGTCGGTAGTACAATCTGAATAGTTAATAGTTGTACAGGTAACGTAGGTTATAGCCTAATGGCGATTGCAGATGTAGGCCTAATCTTTGAAAAAATGGGAGAGGGATGCACGAGGTTACAGTTCAGGCTCAAACTGTACATAGAGGTTAAAGGGTTAAACTGGTTTTCTTATCTCTTGTATGAGACATACCACGCATATTTCTATTTCGGTACTAAATTATAATATTAGTCTACAGTGTTCCTAAAATGATGACAATAAGTCACAAGATTAGATCATACACTCGTGTTGCTCTAAATTAACCAGCTGATGCATCAATGAATTATGCCACGGATATTAATCACAATATTGGTTTACCGTCTAGATTATTAATCTGTATCATCGGTCTATACATTGTTTTAATTAGATCTTCGGGATTAGTGGCGTTTCTACGCCCCCTTCAATTCTAAAATATATTGTTGGATTTCATGCAGTGATTCATATAAACGCTACCGTTAGAGTTGGAAATTGTAGAAGTTTTAGCCACCTGTTGTACATTCCAGAATCTTCACGTGCGTGAAAAATTCATCGAATGGCCCTCCACGGGGACAGAATCGTTTCTTCACCACAAAATATTCGTGATTATTACTTTTTTTTGTTTTATCTTTTCAGGTTAGACAAACCGATAAAATCTGACCAAAACTGTTATAGTCTCGATCGTATTCCATGCCAACGCTTTCATACTGGTACTCTGGAAGGCAAATATTCAACCTTCAGTGCGGTACTGAATAATAAAGTCAAAATCCGGCCAGAATCTGCCTTTTTAGTGTTTAAGAGCTAATATTTGAAAGCGTTTTCAAGAATGAGGTCAATAACTCCTATGAAACATTTTTCGATTTTTTTTGGTTCATCCTTGGGTGTTAACACTCACACCAAATTGTGTAAACAACTGTCAAGAATTGTACCTTCTGGAGTGTTTACGAGATAAAATTGAACGCGTTCTCAAGAGCAGGGGCAATAACTCATACTACATATTTTTCGATTTTGTCTGATTTTCAATTGGGTTTTGGGTGATGACTGACACTCACACCAAGTTTCGTCAAAATCCGTCAATAATTGTGCCTTTAGAGTGTTTACCAACAATTCAAGGACAAGGCCAATAACTCATACTAAATATATTTCAATTCGTGTAATTTTCAATAGGCATCATCCTTGGATGATTACAAACACTCATACCAAGTTTTGTCAGTTGCCTTCTGGAGTGTTTACGAGTAAATGAGGACGGACATGGGTGACAACAATATACGCCCCCCATTTCTTTCCGAATAAATGATCATATATATGTTGGAACTATTATTCAAACCACTAGGTATAGGTATTGTGCTAGTGACGTGAAATCTATCAAGAATTACAGAAACTATAGACCATCTGAAAATTGGAATTGTGCAAAGAGCAGCTTAAGCGTTATTTGAATTCCTTTAGATATCATTAGATCTATTGATTATAGCCAAGAATCGTTTTATTAATCAATAAACTAATCCCTAGTGTATATACTGTGACATATTTTGGACTGTTATACAAATTGGATTATCTTTTGCAGAGGGCTTCAATTTTTTTTTATATTTAAACATATAACTCATAGCTTATTCACTTTCTAAAAGGATAAAATTGGCTTACCATACTGCTAGAAACTCTCTCTATTGATATCCACTTACAAGTCACAACGACTTCATTCAAACACAAATGAAAATATAACCGTGTAACAGATGTGCTGGCTGTATAATGCTAATTTCACTTAAAATTCACAATTTTCACTTTTATCATAAATGATGAGAATATTGTATCAATACTAATTAAAATTGGATCGGCTCTATTAATTTTCCACTAGTTTTCGAAATATGTATTAATTCATTCACAATATACGAGGCTATCTTGAAACATTTCAGGTTGCAAACATAAATTTATTTTAATGTTAAATGCCTATGATATAAACTTATTGGCTTATTTTTTAGAAAACAGGTCACACAAATAAGGAGTCATCACAGTCATTGGACGGGGTAACAGAATGGTCTAAAAAAGATAGCTTTGCCAGGCAAGGTAATATACGCCCACTGGCAGCTTTGATTTTGAATACAAAAATATTTAGCAGTACAGTAACAATGACCAGTATGAATTATTCAATCATAAACTTTTTTTGATTTTTTTAGGGCCATACTGATTAATAAAACCAAGTTTTGTCAAAATCTGGGAAGAATTGTGCCTTTTATAGTGTGTACGGACGTACGGACGGACATGGGTGACGACAATATACGTCGCCCGCCCCCATTTCATGTGGGCGTATATTAAAATCTGCAAGAGTCTCTGATACGGACACAAAGGCTAAAAAACCGTTATGAGTTTTTGAGAACCACAATTCAGATGATAAATGTACATTCTAAAAAAAGGTTATTTATTGGTTGTCTTATGTCTTGAGATTTGTAACAACCTTTCACTATAATAATTTCGTTGATTAAATTTTGTATACAGAAGTAAAAATACCGTTAAATGTCTTTTATTAATTCATTTAATTAATTCGTCACATTCTTATTTCAAAGTCGCCCACTACTACAAAACATTGCACCTGTTACAATTCAACATGGTAACTGCCATTTGGCTAGATTCTAACACTTTGGGTTGGCAATTTTGATAGGTATTGTTAAGTAATATTGATTGCCTTTAATTATCATCGATTTTGGGGAATGTAATTTCAAAGTGAATTGAAGGTACAGAAGGGTGAAGGTCAGGTCGGACAGGTAATCATTCAGCGAGTCTGTTTACAAGAGTGGGGGGCGATATACATGTAGTCAGCCTGCTAAATTAGGTAAAGAACTCAGAAATTTTTTTTATAGCAAAGTCTTGTTACAAGCAAGCAACCATGCCTATAATGTTATTACCGGTCACTGGTATTAAATAAGTACAGTGGTGTAACCTATTTTCGTGGATATAAGGATTCAAGACCGAATTTCGACAAAGTTATAAAAACGGAAATTTTTTTTTATGTCTTAGAGGTTTCCTCAGATATTCTACAAAATAATTAAAATTGGTTTGTTTCGATTTTCTTTATGAATCTCTCACTTTAACCCATATTTCATGAGCAACCAACTCGGCAACGGCGACAGAATGCGTCACCTATTTTCGTGTACAATGTTTGATCTATAGATAAGTCGAGAAAAACACGTTGTATGGATACTGGGTGGAATAATTAACTTCTCTTAGTATTTATCTTTAATATCAATTCATTATTACTAATGAAAATTCCTTGAACGAACCACGATTTAAAAAAAAAATTGTGACTGACAAAATAAGATACGTAGAGTGATTTTTTGCTAAAAGTTACTGAAACAACATAAGAATATAGCCCACTTTGTGTTCCATAGAAATTTTCTGCTAACACGGAATCCGCTAGTTGATCATGTAACTTCATTCGTTGGACTACATTTATTTCTAGCAGACGACACTTGGAATTCCGATTACCGCTTGGGAATATAAGGAAATTCGGCCGATAAAAAATGGTGACGTTTGGTAATAACTGAAATCCGCCATTTTGTATTTGTCAAAGTAAACATTAATACATTTTACCTTGCTTGAAACTACTGAATTCATTCTACTAGCTGACATTGTAGAGAAAACCTATGTTTATCAAAACAAGCAAATGTGGAGGTACGCGCGGTCGCACATGTAAATAATTAATCATTTCCGGAAATGCACGAAAAATAGGTTACACACAGTCAAGTAACCTATACTTGAAAAGTAAAATATTTAAGTCATATAGATTTCAATACGAATATAAATATTTTTATTTACAAAATTAAAAACATTTCTTTTTATTGGCTTTCAATCAGGATGAAAAATAAAATCAAAGTACACTCATTCTGTAATTTCTGCCACTGAAAGGGAAATAAAAAACTAAAGGGTTTTAAGTGTTAAAGCAAAGTTTGTGATTAGTGACATCAACATAACCCTAGTGGAATTGCAGGAAACAGGTGGTTGCCAAGCAAGATACACTAACTTTCCTGATACATTTTCAATATATAAAGGGCAGTCACCTATCTGTGTCAAATCATACCAAAAATATAATTTGTGCAAGATACTGTTTATTTAATCAAACACACAAAATTTATTATTCAGACACTGTCACCTCTATTGTGTTCACATGCTAACAAATGTTGATGCATTTTTACTAAGTCAAGGGCAATAACTCAAATTCTGTTGATCGAAAAATCGTCAAATTCAAACATGACTAAGATTTCATCATTATAAATTATCACAACAAATTTCAATTAAATCGGATGAAAAATGTAGTCTTTATTGTGTTCACAAACAAATTTTGATGCGTTCTTCCTAAGTCAAGGGCAATTACTCAAATTCTGTTGATCACATAACATGGCGCATAAAAACCTCTTTACAATCTTTCCAAATATATCTGGGTTTTGGAGATCCTAGGTATTTAAATAGGTTTAAAGTCCCATTTAACAGGGCATATTTTTTCTGATTGTACTCCAGCCGACAATTGTCAAAATATCCATCAGAGGCTGGAATAGAGTCTACATTGACTTATCACAATATTTCCATTGGCACCATAATACTTCTACTGGCTTGGCACAAAAACAGGTGAACTGAATAATCATTATTGATATAATATCAACCATTCTAGAAATTATATAAATGAAAACTTACCACGTGGGATGTTAACCTTATTTGATACTAGAACATCAGTTTGTATATGGTTCATGTTAACATACAGGGTTTCTGGGTTTGACTGTAAGAGAGCGAAAAAAAAATTAAATTATATCATATTTCTTCAAATTGTTCACTTAAAAATAATAAAATGGTACTCTAGTTTGAAACAGCTTTTTGTTTTACATATATGTACCAAGAAGAATAAATTTGATGCTCAGAATAGCTGGATAGGTAATCTCTCAACAGGAGGGATAAGTCAGCATTGAGGCATGTTCCTTAAGCAATGGTACAATTTTTATCCCCATCAAGCTATCATTGTACCGTTGCTAAAAGAACATGGATGGCATTGAGGATATATTCCACAGTGTGTTTCTTTGAATAGTAATTTGAAAAAGAAAAAAAAATCCCAAAACAACGGAAGGAAGACCATTTGGAGTGAAATTTGCCCTATGCCTGTGTAGGTCATCATTATTGTATTATTTTCAAGGGAGGCAAACATTTACATTTTTCTATAATTGGGTCAGAATTCTTGAACACAAATAAAGGGAAGCAATTTGATGATTTTTGACACATGTAATTATTCCGGCTCACAAGTGGGCAACTTGGCAGAAATATAGAATTTTCTAGATTTGGGTCAAAATTAACTGTAAGTCAATATTTTTTATTTCAAGGGAGATAAGTTGACAAAGTTTTAAATTTAGATAAGAATTCTGGAACACAAATCAAGTTAGGTAATTTAAAAAAAAAATAGCTCTATTTTAAGCTTTATTATTCATATCAAGAGAGGTCATTTGGCATATTCGTGCGTAGGTATTCAGCATCGAATTTTGTCAAAATTAAAAAAACGCTTATTTTTTTCAAGTCTTACACATTTCCTCAGAGATTCTATAAAATAATTAAAATTGGTCTGTTTTATTTTTCTTTATGGATCCCTCACTTTGACCCATATTTCATGACTTACCAACTTGACAACGGCTGCAAAAGGCATCACCTATTTTCGTGTACAATGTTTTATCTATAAATAAGTCTAGAAAAACACGTTGTATAGATACCCGCTGGTATAATTAACTTCTCTTAGTATTTATCTTTAATATCAATTCATTATAACTAGTGACAATTCCTTCAAAGAACAGGGATTTTAAAAAAAAATAGTGACTGACAGAATAAGATACGTGGCGTGATTTATTGCTAAAAGTCATTGAAAGAACATTAGAATATGGCCCACGTTGTGTTGTTCTGCTGACATGTAATCTGATAGTTTATCACATGACTTCGTTCATTGGGTTACATTCTTGCAGACCACACTTGGAATTCCGTTTACAACTTATTATAAGGAAATTCAGCCAATAAAAAATTATGATATTTGGTAATTAATGAATCTGCCATTTTGTATTTGTCAAAGTATACATTAATACATTTTACCTTGCTTGAAACTACTAGATTCATTCTACTAGCTGACATGGAACAGATAACCAATGTTTATCAAAACAAGCAGATGCGGAGGTCATGCGAGGCCGCACATGTAAATAATTAATCCTTTCCGGAAATGCACAAAAATAGGTTAGCATGAAAATTAGGTTACTTGACTGTAAAGGAAGTTAAAATTGAGCTCTAACAGCTGGAAGGATGATAACTAAATGACTCTATGCCATTAATTTTCTACTTACCATAAATAAATCATATAAAGCATCACCCATAGCATCCCTCACATGGTCATCAACAATAGGATATGTTCGACAAAAATGCTGAAAAAAATTGTCAGTACCGGCATTATAGATCTTAATCTGACTGGGTAATGAATGGTGAATTCAGTTGTGTCTGTTGGGTGAGACTCTTCACATAAAGTATTTAGCAGTGATAGTAATAATGTAACCTAAATAAAATTAAATTTAGAGACTTTGTGAGATAATTCTGACACTTATATATGCATTCAATGATATATTTTGACTATTGGTTATCCAATGAAACATTTTATTATCAGTTAGAATACATATCTTACGGATGTTTTGTTTCATTGACTTTGTTTACAAACACCTGTACTCCTGAACGACCAGCCTCTAATATTTGAATTACCAGAATCACATGATCACATTGACATAGTTCCAAAAATGCCTATTCATTACTGCGATATGTTGCAGAGTGCTAGCGTTACTTTCACGGAGGTCATTTTTGCGCTCTAGAGAGACAAAGTGAAAGAATTACCTCTAATGTTAAACTTGCTTGTCTTTGACTGTCAGCATATTCACTGTTTCCCATAGCACAAAGTAGATTGTGTGCAACACGTAACTGAAAAGACAATAATTATCAAAAGAGCTCATTGGAGATTCTGGAAGAAGTTATCATTGGATGTCAAAATACACATATATTTCTAGTGACATGTGACTTAAATACTCTTTGATCCTAAATTACATATCTCACTTTATTCCACATCATCATATCTTGGGAAAGGACAATGAAGTACAATGGAGAGTCACAGTGGGACTAATTATCATATCCAGTTATATCTTATTGAAATTTCAGAAACATTGCAACTCATAATTAGAGATAGACAAAGCCCCATAACTTACTTGAATTAATCTTTCTGATAATTCATTAGAATCTCGTGCTAAAATCCTGTAACATAGGTAGTTTTAATTTTTATTCAGTTCAGACAAGGCCAATGGAGTCAAGACAAACAGATTCTTTTTCCAAATCTTTACATTTTTCACATATTATTGTAATTTTATTCCACATCATTCAAACCAGCTACCAGTATCTTGGTGATGTGTTTTGATGGAAAAAGATGAGCTCTTGACAATAAAAGACAAGTTTGTGTAATTAATATCCCCTTATTTTACTTTATTTAAATATTGGACATTTAATTCCTTTTTCCAAACCATCTGACCCAGAGGCTATATGGATTTCATATCCCTACCTAATTGCCTTGTCACCCCGTTCGTGAGGAAAACTAGAGAAAAAGTCGTTTAAGAAATTGCAAACTTAAAAACCTCGAACTCATAGAGCGAGTTATGCTACCACATTACGTTTTTGCAACGTTTTTATCAAGTGTGCGTGTTTTGAACAAGTCCAAAATATAAATTTGTACGTTGCAATAGGCGTGTGAGACACAATTATACCACGCTTTTAGCAACCTTAACTCCGTCTGAGCCAATTTTCAGTCGCATTAGCAGCGCAGTATGAATGCCTTTCTGATGTGACAGGGCCTTTAGATAAGTAAATGAGACCACTCTTGGGTTCTGGGTTGAGAAGTATTATACGGCAGAAAATTCCTACCCGATTGTTTTGGCAGCTGCAGCCTGTTGAATATAAACAGGTAAGGGTGCTGAAATTTTAGGCATATTGGGATCTGTAAAATACAATTATCAAATCATTACCAAAATATGTCATTTCAACATTTTCTTTCTAGCAATCTTACACTCACACACAAAAATAATCCATCATGCTAAATTTTTTTGGCAGAGATTGATGGCTGGGCAAAATGGTTTAATACCAGGCCTGCATTTATCTATACTCATGGTAAAAACTTTAAGAGTGTAGTTTATTCAGCTTTTATGTTCATTAGGCAGATAAAATGTAGACTAACCTTCTAAAATTTCTGGTTTAGCTAAGGTATCTTCTTTAATAGGTTTTAATAATAGAACCAAGCCAGATAACAGGGAAGTAGATACATCATATATCATTAACTCTTTAATTAGTTCAATTGCTGAAAATAATAATAGGAAATAATAATGCAAATATATAGTTTAGTATCTATTTGAATGAATTTGGAAATTTTACAACTAGCAAAAATCTCTAGCTTGTGCAAAAGCTTGGAGAAACTTTTTCTGCCTTCTTTCAGTTATCTAGCTTGCTAGTGTCAAAAGAAAGCATGAGACCCATGATGTAGTTTCTCTAAGACCTACTCACCTTCAAACTGTACCTCTAAATGTAATGTTCGTAAGAGATTTAACAAAGGTTCAACTATATTGGGATTTGCTTGATCAACTATTGGCTGGAACAGAATAGTCTAAATTTTACATTGAAAGATTATACCAATTAAAAACTGCAATGACATGCAAAGTGCAATGGTTAAAAAAAAAAAAGAAATAAATAGATGATTTGCTTGTTATTACCTGATATGTTTAAAAATCAGGGCTAAAAATTTTCTTCATATCTTCAATGCAAGAAAGAAACAATTTATACCTGAACAATCCGCAAAGAATGTGCTGCCATCTGTTGTGCTTTTGGTGAGCTGCATGGCAATAAAGCAATCAAGCCTTTGTAAACTTGAAGTTGAAACTTTGGATTGCCTTGTGCTAGCATCAATAATAAATTTCTACAGGAATCTTGTGTTTCTTCTGATTTAGATTTGGCCAAGCATTCTGCCACAGCTCTAATACCTTTTGGTTCAAAAAAATTATGGGTAATGGAGATGCTAACTCTGTAGATGGGGAGATCCATGGACCAGTAAATATAATGTGAGTCATTGGAGCTTTGCTTACTTCATATTATTATACCATGTAGGTTATAGCAAACAATTTGTAATAGTTCTTTGTTCTATTTACTCACTAGAGTAATTTTTACATATTTTTAACATATCTGTTTTTTGTGATTGAGACTGATACTAGAAGCTTTAGCACCAACAAAGCTTATCTAATATAAACCAGCAACGATATTATAAACGTTGCTTACCATAACTTTCACAAATTAATTCTTTGTATTTTCTACCAGCATTGGCAATATGTATTAAACACTTCAAGGCTTCAGCTTTATCCATTTCTTTCGCTTGTTTTAAACCCAATATCTCTAATAGTGTGAACACACCACCAACTTCTAAAAACTCAGCCATAAATTTGTGCCTGTTTCAATAAAATGACTATTTTGAAGATTTTTAATGTAAGTGTACTTTATCATATAAGCTTACCTCTGATCAACTGAACAAAGATGCTGAAAAGATTGACATATTGGACAGTCATATATGGTTGTTTACTCTGTTATACTGCAAGGTAGACAACTCTAAGTTTTTGTCATTCTTGAAATCAAAGTTTTGATTTTTATCTTTGCACTTTCAGTCTAACCCTGCACATTTTTGGCTATTTAATCTCACAGTGCTATCCTACTTTAACTATTTTCAAATGTTTGTCTATTTTGGTTTTAATGTTTTATCATGTAGCAAACTTGAACACAATTTTAGTTTTATGAAGTTGTACTAACTCAGTCAATTTATTGTGTATTGAAACAATGGTAAATACAGACTCTGACTCACCCACTAGATGCTGACAGAAATATTCCAATTGCTTTCAACTGCTCATTTAAACATGTACCTATCATATAGCTATAAAATAGTTAAAGAAGTTAAAAAGCATACTTCATTTCGTTTCCAATTCATTGACCAATAGAGAAGTACCAGTTGTCAGATATAATATCATATGTGATGAATTTAACACTTTCAACATTTGTTGGTTCTCTACCAGCCACAAATAACACGATATACCAAAGCAGCTGCTGAGGTAGCCATACCAAATGATGCTCTATAATGTTAGCATTATATTGTTCGCTTTAAGTAAAGAAAGTGTACCATCTAATGGTAAAGAAACATATGACACAAAAAAAGATTTACAATTAAAAGGATACGTTAATCGCAACCATGCTGTTAATCTTGTTAGAAATAAACTGGCAGCTTGAGCAAACTCTTGTTCTAACTCTGGCCCTGTCTTATTGGTGTGTTGTTTAATAAAATCTTCTAGAATAGTTTTACGTTTTGTCTTTGGTGCTTTATCCCATTCTTGTAAAATATTAATGACCCTAGAGATTGCTGTTAGTTGTTTTGCTGATGTCATCTTGATTTAGTTAAGTTATTTCTATACACTTTCCTACAATAAATAATGTGTAAAAAAGATAAAAAAAAAAAATTAAAAAAAACAGCTGTAGATCCACAAAATTTTGTTATAATTATTTAGCTCTACTATTTTCTTAAGTAAGTTAACAGTGTTGTATTTTGAATGTTTTCTGATTTCTCCTTCTGACCTGCTTAATTTGAAGCCTACAAAATCCGTGCAGGGCAATTTTTTGAGTAAAAAGACTACAGCGTTATCTTAAGATTGTGAAAAATTATTACTACCTTTGAAAACATTTATGTTTTAATAATTTTTCATTACTTTCTCACAAAATTAAAATTTTCGTTGATTTGTTTACATGTTGCTAGAACGCCTTATTTGTTTCCCGTATTAGAATATAAAACGATTTTTCATTGGCCACATACAAACAAATCCATCCAATCAAAATGAATCTTTCAATATATAGTTCATGTCCGCACTTGATTAACTAAATGGTTTGTGTATTTTCAGGCTGATTTGTAGGGGAGGCGAGGTTATTTACTAAGTTAAAAATGAAATGAAATGAATGGAGTTTTACGTCCCACAATATACTTGTTTGAGGAAATGTTAGTGGTTCATTATTTTACAGTTCTCCACTGTCTGATTGTGACGTCATGAAATTCCATTAGTATTGATATTAAATCGAGATGTATGTCAACAATGGATGGAAATGTCATTAAGGACCTGTCAAAAAGCTGATGCATCTGTTTGTGTTGTGTAACTTTTCATTCAACATGATGATGAACGAACCCACTTCTACCCCAAACTTACGAGTCTGCTAAATTCAAAATGACAATGGCATAGAATGATTCGACCACGAACCACTTGCTAGGCATCATATTTACTATAGGGAATTTCTTTTCAATTTATGAACCGATAAGACGATAAGTTCATGCAGTCTCCTTGAAAGTTAGACTTGAAAAAAGCGAAAAGGAACACTCTACATATGAGACTGTATCTGAAATAGACCGACAACTCATACTCTACCCATTTCCTCAGATATGATATCTTTACTGTTTAGGGCCAGAGTAATCCCGACCCATTTTCGGTCAGAGGTTTTTGCGATTTTTCACCATGACAAAAGCCAAATCTGATAATTTTTGGGAACCATAAATGAGTCTTAGCAAGTAGCAAGACATTTGCAGATACTCTAAGAAATTTTAACTGACCGACCGTGTTTAAAATTTAGCCTTGTTACCTCCCTTGAGTTGCAAAATTTATATCATTATATTCCTGATGACAGTGTGAGAACAGTAACGACACATTGGTAGAAATCAATATTCTAAAAGTTTGTATCATTAACTAATACAGTTTTATGCTCGCAGGTCTACTATAGGTTCATCAATATTCCACATGCATATCAGCATGCGATGTCTTGAGCTCACATCGTCATCGATACCTTGCGCCCTAAAGTTGGTTGCATTGTAGATTGTTGTTTGAATTATACAATACTATATTTATTCAAATGAAAATGATTTTGCCTTGCACAGCGTAATGGCTGGCATAATTATTACGTCTTGCAATATTATACCATAGCCTACAGAACAGTCATTAAACTAATAAACAAAAACTTGAATTGAAATACGGTAATTTATTGTTACAATAAGCTGAAACAAATTCAATTCAACCCATTAGCGCTTTCATCTACGTTCACGGAAGTCACTGTATTTGCTCATAAGTAGTATCTTTCAGCTCAATCTTCGGTGAAGTGTGTCTTAGAAACACCGTCTGCCAATACTTCATAGAATATTTCCAAGAGAATTACACATCATCTCCTGCATTAAAAAAGGTTAAAATGAGTACGATTAGTAAATGAAAAAATTGAAATAGTTGTCCTTTTTACTCCAAATTGTTCAAACCAAATTCCAATGTTATTGACAAGGCTTACAAGGAAAACTTTTACTTAACAAATATCATCGCGTTCAAAGCACACCCCCATTCGTAATTGTTTCCTCGTAAATAAGACAATGTCAAAACCCGTATTCAGGATACGATGAACAAAATGTCAACAGTTCTTACTTACCAAGAGTGGAGAGGTTCAGATCACCACATTACAACCAAGAAAGTTTTCAAACTGGTAATTCTACTTCTGGCTTGGGGAACGTATCATTGAGAATCAGTGTATCATAATAGTCCACAATCTCATCGTCAGTGGTGCTTAGTTGATCTTTGGGATATTCTAACAGCAGACAGTTTGTATCAGACGACAATTTACGTACACCATTTTTACCTTCCTTAGATGTAGACCTATTCGATAACTTGACCTGAAAATATAAAACATAATTAAATATCTCAATGTTCAAAGATACAATTTTCTTAATCGGGGAACTGAATTGAACATTTGGTTAAAACTTACCTAATATTGAAAATTTACAGAGTCACGTCAGAAGCGTACGAGCTCGGAATTATTTAGAAGGCTATTGAGAGGTCAACAGTCCTATGCCTAGCAAGAGGATCCATTCTTAAATGTACACGTTCTATTGATATTGATTTTTAGTAAGTTCCGATCGGTAAGTTTATGTTCTCAGTGAGATTTAGCTAGTAACTTCTTTGTATATTATTCTTTATCGATTAAGCAAGCTACAAGCGTCCGATATTTAACATAATGTTAAGATAACATCACTGTAGGTAAACATCCATTAAAAGAGTTATATAATTATGATGAATACCTAGTATCCAACGATCTAGTCAACTTCTTAGTCATTTGATATGGTTTAACAGGCAAACATGCTTAATTGATTAGAGGTTTATAGAGGCGATAGATGTATTAATTCCCACATCCATCCCCACAGGAATAATAGACCATGTCACCGGTGTTCCTTTTTTTCTATCAAAGACCCTGCTGAAAAGTTAATACAGAGCCAAAGCATGAACCGATGCACCATAATGTGGTGACATTGACCCTCGACCTTGATGTCCAACAGGATCTCTGCCAGAAAAATGACACTCGTTTTAGATTTTTTGATGGTCAAAATTTCGTTTGACACGATAATCTCGCACGGATTCCTGTAATTGTTCACAGAATTTAGAGAATTTCTCTCACCTTTAAGATGCGGATATCATTTTCCCAACAGAAAGCTTCAATTAATATATGTTGAATATGGACAGATATATTCTCACTAGCAGCTTCGGGGAGGATACAAAACATCACATTTTCTGGATACCTGTTGAGGGAAATGTCAATTTATATTAAGAGACGGGGTAGAATAAGAAAATAATATATAACAAAATAATATAAGTCAAATTCTCAAAATCAATCACTTTTCAACAAGGCTGTAAACTGCATTAAACTGTTGTCATTCTTGAGTATAATATAATATAAAAGAAAGTTAACATCTATAGATTCGATATTTCAGTCTCTATAGCAGACGTCTGGAGCTGCAATGACTTCATTGGCAGGCACAAGGTTTCTACGTACCGACTCAATAGTTTAGCACAATCTGAAACACCCGATGTTAGTCTGTTGGAGTCTAGTGCCTGTATTAAACAATTCATTAACATTTCACCATAACAATCTGTAAGCTTGTTCCTGCAATTATAAATAGAATATTGGTGGATGTTTGAAATTTATCTGATAACCAATTCTTCAGAGCACAAAATACATATAAAATACAACCAGTATCCTTAGAGCTAAAATACATAATATGTTATTATTACTATATTATAGTATACATATAATTAGAACGTAAAATACATTGATAAGCAAAACGAAAATAAGATAACCAAATGTATAAAGAAACTTTGTATAATCAAAACCTCAAACAGAAAAAATACCATCAACACAAACTACATTAATAACCAAATTCGACTCAAAATGCCCTGGAAGTCATAAAATATATTTTTTTTTGTTGGACTTCTTGAAAAAAAATAGTGCTAGTTTATGATAATTTCTACAATTTAAAAACTCTCTACAAAGTTTAGATTTGTCAATGTTTTTTAAGAGTCGGTTCTATGTGGGCTCTTTTCATCTGTCACCACAAACTAGAAAAAGTCATCTTACCAAAAAACCATATTTGAAATGAACTATTACTCCAAGTACTTTAACCCTGTGCCAGTGCCATATATTGAATAGTAACTTGTTACTTTTCAATCATCCTAATCTCCAAGTCCAATAAATACACACTAATGAAACAGTAAGGCAAGTATCATCCAAATCAATACTGCACAAAATACTTGAACTATTTAATTAATAGGTAGTAACAATTCGAAGTATGTAAAACGGTCAACAATGTCACTTGTATTGGTCTATACCACAAAACAATATATGATGAAAGTTATCACGTTCACACAGGGGGTGATGAATCGGGTCAGATGTCAAATGATTGACTTGTGACGATAGTCCGAAACTCTGACTTCCATAACAGGTATTGTGTGCAGTCTTGTCATTCTGGCACATCTATTCACGTCAACATTCGAAATATATTTGAATGTTAATTTGGATCAGTCAGACTGGCCGACATGTATATAAATATATATAACTTAAATATTAGTGATGATTAATTTAAGAACACTTGATAGTTCAAAATTTTCGATGGGACTTTCACCTTTTGAGGCAAAAAATATGGTTTTAGAAGCAATGTTGTTGTTTCAGTTTGTCACTACACAATATGTGCACAGTTTGCATTAAAAATAAATTCAACACAATTAAATGATTAGGTAGAGACTGCAAGGAACCACATACATACGATATAATACGACGTTGTAAAATGATTTTATGCCGTACTCTATATGCCTAATAAATGAAATAGCCTCATCAAAAAAGAAAGATAGGCTATCAGAGTTCGGAGTATCGGACTAAACTTCTTAGTCTCTTTTGTAGAAAGTCAAAGGTATATGTCTACCAGCTGATTTTACAACAGTACGGTGTACAATCATAATTTGACTTGTTGCTTGAGGACATTAAATCTCATTAGTATACTGACCAAGGGTCACTTTGACCAGGGGCTATTTTGATGATAATCAACAATATCAACAATAATGAAGGTCAATAATGAATATGATAAATTATTTGACACTAAATACTGTAATCATAATCAAATTTTGAAGATAAATTTACAATCAGAAAACGTGTATATAACGGAGTATCAATAGAGATAATGGCAACCTTGCGTGTTTCCTGAAGATTATAGTAAATCTGGAAAGTGTCCAGACCTGCAATGGAATACAATATTGCAGAACTAATGGACGAAAATCTGATGGACTCAAATCGACCTACAAAAACGAGGATGGTGTAATATTGATTCTGGTTGAAAATGGAACACTAATAGAATGCTTCAGTCAATAGCAACAGCTGATTATTATAATATATACGTATAGGCTATTAATATGTAAATAATAGATGCAATGTCAGCATAATGTATAAAAGTATGTTTGTATATAAGCCATGGTCCATCATCAGAATATATTATATTGAAAGCTACAACAGTTTAACAGTTGTAACAGTCTCGTTTAAAACGTAATTAAATCAATTAATTAATTTAAAAAATAATTCAAGTGTATGACTTGTGCAACTTGGATATCAATTCGAGAGGTCTTTCACCAATACTTAACTCATATTCGGAAATATGCAGTGCTGTATATACTCCAGTATAACAACTCGACAATTAAACTATATCTTAATCGTATTAAAAGGTTGGTGGATGTGTAATTTTTGTATACGATAAAGGTGAGAACAAGGTTAATACCAATAAGTAAATAAAACACAAGAAATGAGACAAAATATAAATAAATCTTACTTGAACTCGTTTAGTTTTTGAACGAAAAGAATATTTAACAAAATTACTTATGGCCAAGTGTCGATTTTGCACAACCGAAAACTGTTTTTTATTACCTTTATTGATTAGAACTGAAATCTGAAATCTTAAAATATCAAGCCAATAAAGCGTTTATTATAATTAAAGACAATTAGCCTACCTATCCGAGAACTAATTCAACTTAATTTGTGTCATATACCGTCACTTCCAAATGTACACTTTGTTTAGTAAAATATAATGGATTAAAGTATGATCGAAACCAAAAAAACTTACGTCTTATGAATTTGATCTGCAGAAAGATTTTCAACCCGAGTGAATGTCATATTGATGAAAGCAAATATAATCCAATTTTTTTATGTTAAAAGCACAAAATATCTTGTAACTGTACAGCTTTGATATCCTTATAGTACAATTATATATCTATTGTATATATAAATATACCTCAACAATGAACTCATAACAAAACGATTGTTACTTATATAGTAGGTAAGATGATGTACGCGTGCGGCTCAAATAAATATATTTTCATTGGCTTGCCCTATATTTTTACACACGGGTTTTAGTTCACTAGGGTGTTATTTCGTACAAAATAATATATGGGCGGCAGTCTAAGGGGTATGTACGTAGTACAAAAACAAAAGTGGCCTTGATATTGACACAGATCAAGTGGGAGAGAATAACGGGACAAAACTTCCGGGGAGAGGAGGGATAAAAACATAACACCTATACTGGAACATAAACGTTATATACTACCATTTATCTTGTAAAATCAAACAACTATAAAAGTTGAAATAAATAAGTCAATATTAGAAATATAGGGTACAACCCACACCCCTTGCTCAATGCATTACCCATCAGGTCATTGAGGGTGAAATGAACTTCAAGAGAAAATATACTGACATACAACTAGTTAAAGACTGATACATTGGAAGATCATTTGAAACGAGAAGATCGTGCCCATATAGGACCTACTGACAAGGGATAATGCTATCCAGGCTATTTCTTCTTCAGTTCGAATTAAGAAACAATAATTCCCCTTTCGCTTCCTACGAGTGTGGTTACCGGGGAAGTTTTGCATGTGCTTTGTTGTGTTCAAATGAGCTGTGAACACTATTACTGATTGGCTCAGCTAAACAATCCCGTTTCTGAGACTAAATATGAATCAACTAAAAAATGGCGCATCAGTCCCTTTCGTAATTATATTTTCGCCAAATGCAGAAATTGGTTAGAGAACCCCTCTGACGGAGAACAAGGCATATACAATCATCAGACGTTTAACTTAACCCCAAAACAATGTTAATCAACACCAATGATTAATGTGAACTCTGATAATAATTGATATCTGATGCCAAACTTAAGTCTGAACTTTATGTAATATAGAATGATAACGTAATCACAATATAGGCTAAGTAGCCAAGATCAGTGCGAGGTACATTAAGTACATTATTGCAGTATGTATCAGTTTAATTTACACTTTTTAAATTTATGAAGGGTGTACAAGTCTCTTCAAAACCCAAACATTAAAGCAGACTTGTCAGATGATGATGAAGAATTAAAATGCTAATAAAAAAACAATGTAGTGTTTAAATCTGCATCATGGATCTTACCTTGACCTGTTTTGTTTGTTTGGTTTATCGTTTGAGAGCGTTTAAGGGTCATTTCAAGCATACAATTTGTTGGCACCTGAAACATCACCTTTTATGTGGTCCAATAACCACCGAACATAATCATCAGATACTTAGGAGAGTAAAGATATTTCGGATTATCCCCGATTCCTGCTGACTTTCTCGTGTGTTAATTCATGTTAATCCCCTCGTCTATAGCCTATCCTAAAGATGTTGGTCTCATTTAGATTGAATGTAGATTGCAGACAAGCAAAAACAACACGTTATCTTTAAACAGTTAGGCTACTCGGTACTTCAATTAAACTTATACGAGTATGATCTATTCGACGCATACATAAGTAGGACTATACATAGAACTGTATACTGACAGTATACATATCAGAATACAGTTCTATAGCCTATATAACTTATGGCAGGGGCTATTTACCACTGGCGTGGTAAGAGTGGTAAATAGTCATAAGTACTTTTACAGCTAGGCCTATAAAAAATACTACGGCGTGGTAACTTTTTACCACGTTTTTTGGTGAATTTTATTTAGTAATATTTCGAAAAATCACACTTTTTAGGTTTCAAAAACCTAAAAACCTGGACACTGGAAACCGTACCTCGTACAAGCAGGCCCCACATTGATTTCTCTATGATGTCGTGTAGTGTGAGAGCGTGTACGACATGACAACGCAAGCGATTGTGGGCGCAGAGTAGCGTAGAGTTTTGAACATGTCTAAAATATAAGGAAATCGTTCATCATACCAACTTTCTTCAAAATCAATTAAGAATTGTGCCTTCCAGAGTGTTTACGAGCAATATTGTGGGCGGATCGGGCGGACATGGGTGACGCCAATATACGCTCCACATTTTATGTAGGCGTATAAAAACTTTACAGTTGAGTTGAGTTTTTACAGTCATTTATGTCCCTGCCTATTTTTGTCAAAGGTTGTCACTTTTACAATGAAATATCTCTTTATCTATCAATCAATATTTCATGTACGTTTTCTTAGCTTATTCCATTACCATTGTCAATAAACATGTGAACCTGACGGTTTATCAAAATCCTAAGGCGCTATCGCATTTCACTCCTTTTTCCCTACGCCAATTTCCTATATCGTCCCCTTTAAACAATTGTGCTTGTTCCGGGTTCGAATTCTGGTCGGTGTCCATATCGTATTTAGTGGAGTTACAAGTTGGGCGAAAAGGGAATTAGGAAGGGACGATATAGTGTCGTGATGATGAAATAAACCGAAGCTGAAAGGACAACTAACAAGTTTATGAAATGAATGCATGACAAACTACAAATCCAATTTAAAATCTTTGTGGAAATAACGTCTTTAGTACGGTACGAATAAGTATTTTGCTAATGTAGGTCAAAGCTAGGCTACTCTCAATTATTGATTAATTTATCAGTTACAAGACACAAATTATCTGAACTAAATATTTCGCGATGTCGACCATAGGATAGCCTCTGACGCCCAGACTATATCTGTCTACGACGAGGATCTTTCGTCGAAATTGTGCTTTGACAAGAGGGGCTGGGATGATAGAGGCTACCGCAGACCTGAGACAAAGCAGAGAAGTGGCCCTTTGAACTTGAAGAGCAAAAAGCCCCTGAATAAATTTCGAATACAAAGGGAAATAACTCCTTATCTAAAAGCATATAGGACTCACTCCACTAAAACATTTTATGCAAATGATTGTATAGGAATGTAGTCCAGGCTATTTTTAGAAATCTTCTTTCTCTCTCCCTTTTGGGGTTTTTGCCTGCCTATTTTTGGGTAAAATTTGGTCTAGATTTGGAATTTGATGTCTGAAATTGCATTATCTTTCAGATTTGGTGAGATGATGAGAGACTTAAAGGCGGAAGGCTAATTCTAAAAATAGTCGTTTTGTGAAGTGCCAAACTCTAGCGGATGAGTATAACCGGTAGTAGTCTACTTTCAATTTTAGTAGCTCAAAATTTTCATGGTCATCATATAATGAATTTTTTAGGAGACATTGAGAATTGGTCAGGCTTTCATTCGACATATTGGAAAGCTTTCAACGAGATTTCTGGAAAAAGTTATAGAAGGTTGAATTTCGTGTTTTAACATGGGAAGAGATGGCAAATGAATTAGTGGAGTGAGTCCATATATGCACCTGTTTCGAATAGTAGTTTATGAAAAGATTAGCTTGAAAATTAGTTCAATCAGGATCCATCTTCGATATTATCACGAGCACACCAAGTACAAGATTACGTTAACAACGTCAAACCAAGTTCATCAAAATACTGGTCATTCCGTAAAATTCTTCTTCCGTTGACTCTTGGACATACGAGACTAACATCAAAATGGCTGACAATGTTGATTGTCAGATTACGTACCCGAAAACTGAAGCAGACGACGCAAATGGAGAAAGTTTCTCAATAATTGACTTGCCAGAAAAAATACCAGTTGTTCTTTTATTAGGATGGGCTGGTAGTTTAGACAAACACTTGGCTAAATACAGCGCTATATACGAGCAAAGGAGGTAAAGTATTTGCCGGAAAGGATTGTGTCGCGTTCCGCTAGTGTCGAGCAAGTTCATTAGGGAATATTGGTCGTTTCCGTCCACATGGGCTATTTTCAACATTTATTCTTACGAAACCAAAGAAAATGTATCATACTACTTTTCTGTCGGATCTTTAAAGATTTGTAGCAACCCTACTTACCATCCTTTTTTCTTTTTGTCATTTCAGATGTATAACCGTACGCTACACGGCTCCATCTAAATACTTGTATTTCAACCACGGAAAACTTGCCAGACTAGCAAAAGGTGTATTGGACACTTTATATGATCGAAACCTCGAGGACCATCCAATATTTATTCACATGTTTAGCAATGGCGGATGCTATGTTTATTATAATATTTGCCACTTAGTTCATAATGATTCCAAATATCACAATCTCAGAATTGAGGGATCTATTTTTGACAGTGCCCCGGGAAAACGGCGGATTTTAAAGGCTGCCAAAGCATTTATGGCAATGTTCAAAGTTAACTTTGTTTTAAAATATTTGTTGGGATTAGTTGTAGTTGCATATTTATTGGTTTCTTGTTTCATTTTCCGTTTAATGAACCTGGGTTCTTCCAAAACTGGATTCTTGCTATATGAAAGCATCCAACAGGATCCAGGGAGATGGCCACAAATGTTTTTGTATTCCGTAGCCGACGAGATTGTGTCTTATAAAGATATTGAACAAATGGCTAAATCTAGGAAGAAAGTAGGAGTTCAAGTAACAACCAACTGCTGGAATGACTCGCCACATGTAGCTCACTTCCCGCGCTACACTGAATCCTATTCCAATTTGTGTCAACAATTCTTGGATTCTTGTTTGAAATCCAATTTATAATGTTATGGTTAATAAATTGATAATTGAAGCGAACCATATTTTAATGCCATAAGAAAAGATAAGCTTAATAATGCAAACAGTGTCGTATTTAGGAGGGGGAGACTAGATTTATTTTCAACCAGGGGGAGGACCCCACTGCGACTAGCATTAGTAACCCTCTCAAATCCAAAAGAGAACCGAGGTGCTCAGAATGAAATCATGGCTACTGGATGCCAAATTCATACTGAATGGCATAGCGAAGCGACTCATCGTATCACGAATATGGGTTTTAACATGGTCCATCGTATCACTAATATGGGTTTTTAAACCTAGTGTAAAGTGTGAGAAAGGAAAGACTATGTGGAGGTGAGGTACCTCCTTGCATACATCTTAAATAATTTGAATTAGGGAAAATAAATATAACTACAGATTTCTATATCTAAAATGAAATAAAATATGTTATTAAATGAAATTCTCCTTCTTTACATACCCACTCGGGGGGGGGGGGGGGGGGGGGGGGGGGGGGGGGGGGAAAACCCTTTTTTTTGAACCCCCCCCCTTCCCCAAAAAAAAGACCGAAAAAAAGGTTTTTTTTTTTCCG